TTTCATCTCATTAATTTTCAATATTAACTCTTTACATTGTTTTATTATTGACAGTTTAAATCTTCATGATTTCATTGGTCATAAAACATGTCGAGCATTTTATGAAAAATCAGATGGAATAATACTTATCTTTGATATATGGTCAAATGATACTTTACGTGAATTAGAAGAATATCATTATTCATCTATAAATAATCAAAATAGTATTATGCATAAACCTATATACATGGTATTGGGTAATAAAAAAGATTTAATTCAAACACAATCAAATCCATCAGTTAGTAAAGTATCAAATAAACGTATAACGGATTTTGTGAATGTAAGTTGAATGTTTCATTATGAAATTTACATTGTCGTCTTAATTTGGTTTGTGGTGATGAAAATGTCTACAAAAACAATGCTTAACCCCCATGGAGCATAGGCCACCGACCAGTTTTCTCCAACCAACTCTGTCTTGGGCACAAAAACAGGGTTACTGCCTGTCGCAAGCGCAAATAAAGGAGGAAGGTTGAGCATTGGGTTAGCGCTCGTATCCTATAGATGACCAACTTATTTAAAGTACTCTAAGCAGAACAGATAACTCGAACCATTTTAACTCTGTCCTGGCAGTTTGAAAGTCCTGATTTAGAAGAGTTTCTGAAGTTAAGAGGCCAATGTTCCTTGCTCACGACTAGACAAACAATTAATATAGGTACATGAAATATTCATGCAATATGGAAGACCAGAAGAACTATTCAAATTACTGCCGAAAAAAAATGATACAATCTGGTGGTGCTTGGAATGAGTGAAGCCCATTAGACGAGGGATGCACAAAGAAGACCAACTTCAGGAAAGATGCTGTTGTACTGCGTCTATGAAGAAGAAAATGCCCCCACAGGGGATTATGATGAATGTCACTCAATGCTATGCTCCCACCAACATTAACAATGTAAACGGTAGGGATCAATTCTATGAGATGCTGAAGTTAACCATGAAGAAATCCCTAGCAAACAACTTGACCATCCTAATTGAAGACCTAAGTGCTGAGATTAGGATGGACAACACTGGATATGAAGACATTATCAAAGGATATGGAATGAGAGTAAGGAATGAAAAAGGTGAGAGATTCGCAAACCTATGTGACTTCAACAAAATGGTCACAGGCGGCAACATATTCGGACACAAATGCATACATAAGGTGATATGAGTTTCACGGGATCATACTACACAGAACCAGATCAACCGCGTCTGCATCAGAAGGACAATGGAAGACGTGAGAACAAGATAAGAGTTGACATAGCTTCAGATCATCACTTGGTATTGGTCAAGATGAAAATGAAACTCAAGAAGCACTGAACAATGGGGCGAACAACATCACAAAAGTTTAAAATGGCTTTTAATGATCTAGTGAAAGAAGAGGAAACCACTATGGATAAAGGGGTCAAAGGAGCAGTAACTCTTACATGTCATGATGTTTCGGGCCAAAGAAGCTCCATCACAAGGACTGGATCTGTGTGGATACTCTGGATACGATTCAATCAGTATCAGCCAAACAAGAGCAGAGAAAGCTAAGGCACAGGATGAATACATAAAAGCAAACATGGAAGTGAAGAGGAGAATCAGAGCTGATAAACGGAATTATGTTGAAGAACTAGCGAAGATAATGTAAAGTGCTGTAAGAGAAGGAAACTTGAGACAACTATACGATACAACGAAGAAGCTCACTAGAAAATGTCGTAAACCAGAACCACCAGTGAAAAACAAGGAAGGCAAACCAATCACCGACATTGAAGAACAGCGAAACGGGTAGGTGGAACACTGAAGAACTCTTGAACAAACAAGTCTCACTAAACCCACTCATCATCGAAGCAGCAACTAAAGACTTCCTAACTGATGGTGACCTACCAACCGCATGGCCATCAGACAAGTCAGGGGTTGGAAAGTAGTAGGAACAGACAGCCTACTATCAGAGGTATTAAAAGCAGGCATAGCAACTACTGCAAAAATGTTCCACGCATTGTTCAGCAAGATTTGAGAGGAAGAACAAGTATCAAGAAACTGGAAAGAAGGACATCTGATGGAGATACCGAAGAACTACAGAGTAATTACTCTACTCTCGACACAAAGGAATATCCTTGACAGAATGTTGTTACACGGAATGAAAGATTCAATAGACACCAAACTTCCAGATCAGCATGCTTACTTCCGTAAAAATCAATTGTATGCCGACTAAATCGCTAAAGTGCTGATCAAAATGGAACACAGCACCACAAATCCGCCTCCTTGACTACGAGATAGTGTATAATAGTGTGGACACTCGGAAGACTTCCTCAACCATAAGGTGTATCTGAGAAGATGGTCAATATCATACAGAATTCTTACGATGGACAACACTGATGTATCCTGCATGGAGGATAGCTCAAAAACTCGTTCCAAGTGAATAATGTTGTCAGACAAGCTTGCTTACTCCCACCCATTCTCTTCAACACGTGGAGGGAAGCTCGGGATACACTGAACAGTTTGGATGAAGCTGGACGATCTGGAATTTGCAGATAACCTAAATCTTGTCTCTCACACACTACATCAAATGCAGGAGAAGACGGTCTGTGTAGCAGCAGCCTTTATAGTAACAGGCCTCAACATACATAAGGGACAAAGTAAGATCCATAGATACAACACAACATTCACCAACCAAATTACACTTCATGGAGAAGCTTTGGAGGATGTGAAAAAGCTTTACATATCTGAGCAGCATCCTTGAGGAGCACGGTGGAACTGATGTAGATTTGAAGGCACCTATTGGAAAAGCAAGGGCAGCCTTTCTAAAATTGGGGAACATCTGCAACTCAAAACCACTATCAATCAAAGACAAAGTCAGAATTTCTAATACAAATGTCAAGACGGTTCTGCTGTATGAAGCTATAACTTGGAGAACTACATAATCATCATCCACGAGATACAAGTATTTATTAACACAGATCTACTCAAGATACTCCGGCTCCATTCGCCAGACACCACCAGAACCTGCCTAATGTGGAATAGACAAAGCCAGATTCCAGAAGAGGAAGAAATTAGGGAAAAGCGATAGAGGTGGATAGGATAAACTTTGCGGAGATCACCCAACTGAATCACGAGGCAAGCCCTCACCAGAAATCCTCAAGGTAAAAAGAAAAGAGGTAGACCAAAGAGCACACTGCGCCGACAATAAGAGACAGATGTCCAAAGAATAAATAGTGATTGGGAAGAACCCGTAAGGAAGGCCAGGGCAGAGTTGGTTGGAGAATGCTAGTCAGCGACCTATGCTCCACTAGGGGTAACAGACATAAATAAGTAATTAATGTCACACAGGTTTAGAAAAACTGGAATTTTACATACTTTCAAATGCTACCGGTGGACCTTCAACACGAATCACTCAGTTTTATGGTAAGAAAAGTTACCACTATAAGTAATCACTGAATGGTTATTTAAGTAAAGTGTTAAAGTATTTTTAAATGAATATTTATCATTTTTTTGTTTTATGAACGAAAATCTTGTTCTTTAGGCTCTGGATGGTATGTTTTTTGAAATAAGCGCGAAATCGGGAGAAAATGTTCAAGAAGCTATCGATGCATTCTTAAGGTAATTTGATATCTAAATAACAAACTGTTCGATCGAACTTTCTCGAAAACAGAAGGCATCAACAAATAAACACCAGACATTTATCTATAATAGATCTGTAGATCGATTCATACACCGATTGAATGTGCAATATTTTATTGATATGTACTATCAAAACAGATGTACATATATTCATTTTATAACCTAAATACTGGCTTAGTTTACATCTTAAAAAGCATGCAAGATATACGTACCCGATAAATTTTTGAGACATAAATGATCGTTGTTGTAGTTATAAGTTATTACATAGATTCACCTTCGATTGGGAAAGGGTAATGTGACATTGGTTTTGAGGAGAATTAAGGAGATTGCTAACGTGCTAACACTTCAATGTGAGTAGTTCTGTTCAATGCCATGGTGCAACCACACAGGTACTAGACACCCTGGTGGACCATTCACGCTACTTAGATACCTCTAGGACAGTTTATAGTGATTATTTTCTATCTATGATTGCTTCAATCAATATGCAGAGGTTAGACATGCCGACTTGAACCATCCCAATTACATGACTGTCAAACTTATTATTATTAGCAGCAATACAGCACCCCAATCACAATGGCTCTTATGAATTTCACAAGACAACCACTAGTATCAATGACATCGGTCACCGTGCTAACCGAATTTGTATATGGACTATTAGTAATACTTGCCAAAATGATGCCAAGCCATCCACTATGTTCACAACGAACCTCTGGAGTCATAATAGGAAACTGGTTCTATATAGCAATATAGTAGTAATTTTTTATACTTTCAGCATATACCACTGTGCCAAGTCCACATAGGTTAGTTCGGCTTCTGAACAGACCAATGAATTTATTCTTTTCAAAATATTACCCACACATATTTTGACCTTGTCAGTTATTGGCTAATAACTATGACTATTTTTTATGAGTATATGGGTGTGAATCCCTTACTCAATTTATCATATCTTGAGCTTATTTTGGTCTCTCTATAAGTTGTAAATCATGCCTTATTAAATGTACAAGGCACACTGGCCTTCTTCGACTGGCTTTGCATTTCCGTTTCCCAGCCTTTTTATTTACATAAAGTTATCTCATTCAGTCCATATCTGGCTTCTCATTATCACTGTCGCTCGAATGGAGTTAGCCTACGTAAAATACACAGAATTAAACACATTCATTTTTGTACAACATTTAATAGGTTGTCACAAAGTCGGAATCAGATAGCGGGCCATTCATAAGTTCTTCACGTGTCGGATACAATACTTTCAAGTAATAACTAGAAATGACTGAAATTACAATAGTCAGTCACAGGACACTGACTTGGAAATTTAGACTTCAAGCGTCCATCTCGGCTCTTAAGCATACTGGCTTCGATTCCTGGTGAGATCAAGGTCATGTACTGATAAGAACCCCCTAAACTAGTACATAAGAGTTGTTCAATGTCCACTGATCTTCCCTGATTCTTAAGCTAATCTGAACCCCTGTGACATAAATCACTTTCAGAAAAAAAACAAATCCACAATCAACTCATTAGTTACAATCACATTATTTTATTGTACTTTTTGAAATAAACTACTCAAACTAATTGATTATTTAATTTTAAATTTTTGTTTTAGAAAACTTAAATTAACTAGTGAAAAAACAAAACAATCGAAAGAAATCAAAGAAGATAAGAAAATGGGCTGTTGTAGTTGTTGTTTCTTGTGAACATTGATAATTGAATGCTTAAAAATAAACTTAAGCCCTTTTTTCCAATTCATTTTAACTTGGACATAGTGAAGAAACAATAGGCTTATGGTAGAACTGTTACGCCTGCACGTAAACACGTCAACTTGATATGCTTGAACTATTACGAGTTTACCTAGTCGGAAAACGAGAGCGACGGTCGAGGATCCGGTGACACGACATGCTACTCAAATCCGATTATCCAAACCCCCATATTGAGTCAAAAATAAGACAAGACTTGATATGAAGTAGGACCTGTATTCCAGAAAGTACGAGGTTCGAGTCCAGAAGAGAATCAGGATCCCAGACTAGGGATCCTGGTCCTGGTCCTGGTCATAAAACGTTACAGATAGTGCGTATTTATACGTTTTGGTCGAATGAGAAACAGCATCGAAGTCTGTGACATTGACAGTTAAGACGACCAATAAGCAGCAACATTTGAAGTGACACTAATAGTCAGTACGGACAATAAGAAACAACATCGGAGTACGTGACATTGATATCTAGGACGACCATAAAACTGACCAGTAGGAATTAACCAATAGAATATGATCAATAATTCTCTTAGGATACTGGATGAATATCCTAACAAGAACGCTTGTAATTGTAGGTGTTTGGAAAATGTCTAGTGATAGCCAATCAGTTCACTATTTCATTGCTTATTATTGATCTGACTCTTGTGTTGACAGACGTAGACTACTTGTTTGTTGGGGACTGACTATACGATAATCAGTGGATGATGAAGACGCCAGAAAACACACACTACCTGAAAATTGGTTACACTGGAGTGGAAACAGTCATTTTTTTGCTGAAATCTTGAATTCAAATGTTATTTTGTTATTTCACCATGAGTATTGATTTATTCTTTTCATACTCGAATGTCACATATCTTTCTTTATGACGTTAATACTAGTATGATTTCAAATTTCATATTAGTCACATAGTTAATTTGATCCTTATTATGATAAAATGACTCATCTGTGCCCGGACTACTGTGAACCGTGTAGAGTCTTTGAAATAAACTGTTCTCAATCTGTCTATTTAAGTCTGTTTGGAACACGTAAAGATAATAGTAGTAACGAATAGAAAAACATATAGATTAGCGCGTCATGCTGATATGATTTTGAGATGGTGGAGAAAATTTATAGCTCAGGTGGATGAATGTGGTGGTGTTTCGTTCTTTGAGCTAGATATTCTGGTTGTGAAGCTTTTATTGTTCTCCTGCTGAACAACATTATCAGCACAAATTTCAGTCAGAAGTAAAGTATCTGAATTACTCCACATTTTTGACCTGTAGCTTGTTCTGCTAACCTCGATCTTGATTGGAAAAGCATCTTATGACTATCTTCCAAAAGAACGGCTATCCATGCAACTTCATCAAAAAACATCAACCGAAATCGTCAGCAGAAGTGAATGAAATCATGTACAGGAACCAATAAACGGATCATCCTACTATACACAAAAGACATATCGGAGCATACAGCACGACTACTGAAACCATTTAGAATAGGTGTGGCACACAAACCAACAGAATCATTTCAATCAATCCTATGTAGACCAAAGGAAAAAATGACAAATGAAGGAAAACCAAATATAATCTACAAAATAAATTGCTCAGACTGTGAAAAACACTACATAGGACAAAGTGGATTCTTCAACCCCTCTAGTTTTGACTTTCTAAACTTTTTTCACTGAAACATATTTCTTGAATAATATCTTTTAATCCTAACCTCTTCGATTACTTCTAATACGTTTACTACCTCTTCTAGTATTGGGTTTGAATTGAAAATTATATCTCTGTGCTAATGTGGTATGGCAACATGAACTGATGTACTTACGTACGAAGTTCTACGTTGTATCTGACTAACTGACTGAAGTGGACTGCCTCTTCAGCTTCGTTTACGTGAACACCAATTAGCAGTCAAACGCCACGACAAAGCTTCGCTTATATCAATACACACCGACAATTATGGACACATATTCGATTGGAACAATGTGGAAATACTGGGTAGGGGGAGGATAAAGAACACTAGGGAATTTTTAGAAGCTTGGCACTTAGGTCAATCAGCAATCAACAAACACATCGACATTGACCCAATTTACCAACCAATCACACAGATTACAGGCGACATAGGATCAAGAAACAGATCAAAAGGGGGATACAATTAAAACAAATGTAAGGTTTGAGGTCAACAGCAACCAATCAAGATCGAGGTCAGCAGAATAAGCTACAGGTCAAACGTGGAGAAATTCGAATGCTTCACTTCTATCTGAAGAACAATGAAAGCTCCACAACCATAACATCCAGCTCAAAGAACGAAACACCACCACAATTGACTAACGCTTTCATGACATAGCTTGACAAAAAATAATCATTAAAACTTATGGTTTGATAAGTATTGTTACTTCTCCATGTAATGAATGGCTTGTGTGTTCATAAATTTGAAATAGTCTTTGGCTTCTGAATACGGAAGATTATTTTATACAAGTATAAACGAGCAATATAAGAGTAATTAAGTCAAAGTAAACGTCAAACTTAGTCAGGTGAAAAATATGTTCATGTCTCTGCATATAGTTCTATGTAAATAATTCATGGTTATAGCTAACATTAGTTTTTCTGGTTAGCGTTTTTTTGGCAAGTTAGTTTTTGACGGAATGGGGTCGCCAACCCCATGTCCAACCCTCCTCCTTTACCCGGGCTTGGGACCGGTAGTAGACCCGAAGGTTCTACTGGCGGAGTTTGCTATTAAGTTGACTAATGTTAATTACTTATGAGGCTAGCTGAAATGATCATTTATGTGACAATTTACTTGTCAGTGTTTTTATTCAAAAAATGTAAAAACTTATAATGCTTAAATTACAGTAACAAAATCTTGTCGTTCATTTAAAATCAACTAGTTGGATAAATAAATCTTTTTGTAAACCTTTCAGACTTTTATTCATTTAGTGTTTTCACATTCAAAAGACATGATTGTTTACATACAATACATTGATGTAAGAAAATATACGAGATGATGATACGAGAAGTTTCTAATTTGTTTGTACTGTTGTTATTTAATTTATGTGGGTTTAGTCTGTGGGTGCTTCATTTAAATAATCAATATTCAGTGTTAGCTTAGTGATGATGTTCACCTTTGATGTATTGATGTATTTTTCAGAGAAATGTTTCTCAGAAAATATGTTCCTGGTCGCTAACACAAAAATTGCGTACATATGCATAAACATTATCTAATGTGAACATTTTAAACCTCAGCAGATACGTCAGATTCATGCTTATTCAGCATATTCAACATTTTAACGTGATCTGACAAATGTCGAAGATACAGTTCATGAATCAATCATTGTTAGATCATCATTAGTAACCTGGGAATTATTACGAGTTTACCTTAGTTGGAAAAAGGAGAGCAAGTATCGAGAAACGCGGATCCGGCGACACGACATTCTATTCTAATCCGAGTGTCACAAACCACCAGTGAGTGAAAGAAGAAGACTTGATATGAAGTAGAGCAAATATTCTACAAACATCCAGAAAGTACAAGGACCGAGTCCACAAGAGAATGAGGATCCCGGACTAAGGATCCGGGTCCGGGTCATGAAATGTTACAGATAATCCATATTTATACAGTTAGATCGAATAGGAAACAACATTGAAGTGCGGCGTGACATTGACAGTTAGGACGAACATAATATTGACCAGTAGGAATTGACCAATAGAATTAGACTTCCAAAAATAATTCTGTTAGGATATTGGATGAACACCCTAACAATTCAGAATTATTTCATTGTTTGTTCCTTCAAACGTTTTTTTATCGTTTTAATACAAAACTACTTCACTGTGAATTATTCGTATTCAATTATTTTTCAAGTGAAACGTTTTATTCATGAATTAGTTAAAGAAACTTTCTAGACAAGAATTACAAATCATCAGTATTCAATATTTAATGTCTGTTTGATTATCGACGGTTTATTATTTATTATTTATGAGGAAATTAATGTCGAATGAAAATAAAAACAGAAAAAAAATTGTCTGTTGAATAATCAATATATGCTTTATATGTGATAGAGACCAGATATATATGTGTATCAAGTTAAATTATTTTCATCAGAGAATTATGAAGATTGTTGAGTTTCATTAAAACATACTCACTAGTGATAAGCTTCGTGCGGAAATTCTCAGAGTTCTAGTTAGAAGTCGTGCCCAGCGGATTTCAACCCTGTTGGATGTGAGGCAGTTACCTAGTTGAAGACAATGGGTGAAGTTGCGCAATACCTTGTGGTGATTAAAGTTATACATCAACATTATTGAATTCCTGCTCCAGTGGTCTACAGATTGAGTGTTTTTAAGCGACAATGAATGTCCTGGGTTCGATTTCCACGAGTTGCGGCCGTGAATGAGCAATGCTGAAGAGTCCTGTACTAGGATGAAACGGTCGTCCAGTGCTTTCAGGATTCTAATATATGTCTCATATTATCAATAAATAATTTTCCTTAATCACAGTGTTTAGAGTTTAAATTGTTAGAAAGTTTTCCTAATTAAATAAAATTAGTTAATTCTATGGAAAGTATGTAAATATTTCTTAATGCCATTTACAAATTTAACGTCATACTTGATTTGAAACGCATAAATTTCTGTGATAAAATGTATTACTGATGACTTATCTTCAATATATCAAAATCGTAGGTCTGTAAAGCATTTCACTTACCTTATAAACAGTTTGAAACATTAAGTTTATGTATAAAAATGTAAGAAGTAAAAACCTATTCAGGTGAAACTCAGGCAGACAGACAGATACAACGCGGAACTTCGTACGTAAGTAAATCAGTTCAGGTTGCCATACCACGTCAGCACAGAGACAGAACTGTTAGTTCAAATCCAAGAGTGATAGCGATAGTAGCAGTATTAGCAGTAATGGAGAAGATTAGGGAGCGAAGATATGATTTGAGAAGTATAATTCAGTTAGACAAGTTTAGATAGAGAAAGA